TATCTAACCTTCACTCATCCAACATTCTGTATTATCCAACGCAGTCTGCCTCCCACCCTGATCCACAGCTGTTTCAATACAATGCAATGTTTTGGTGCTAAATTTGTAAATACAATAATTACTGCATAATGTTACTGTGTATTGAACTGCTTTTTCTGTCAATTTGTTGTAAAACATGATGTTTTGGTACTTAATTTGTAAAATCATAATGTAATTGAACATTTAATATGCTTTTCCTTAATCCCTTCTTATTATCCAACATTTTTGCTTATCTGCTGGCCCATTTATGTCGGATAAGCAAGGCTCTACTATGTTCAGGAAGGCTATAAGACATCCAATGAGGTTGCGATGAAATTCCTCACTAATTTGATAAAATACCGGCATTCAAACATGACTGGTGAGTCCAAATAATAGTTAATATTTTCCCAACACATGTCAAGCATTTATACAACAAATTTTAAACTGATCTGGTGTCACATAAAGCAGTGTTATTCAAAGCGGTAGCCCCAGGACCAGTGTTATTCTGTGAGCCATTGACTACTGGTCAATGGAGAATTTCCAGGATAACAGAAAACAGTTGTGCCAGTTGGTACAAATATGGTGCCAGTCTCTGGCTTATTAGGAAAAAGATATGCTAGTCATCCACATCGGAAAGCCTGAGAAGCATTATTAATGTCCGCCTTGCTTTTTTCTCTCTCTCTCTCACACAACAGATGGTAGAGTGGTCTGATCATAGAATCACAAAGCTGGAAAAGACCCCAAGGGCCATTAAATCCAACCCCCTGCTATGCAGGATCACACAATCAAAGCATTCTCAACAGATGGCCATCCAGCCTCTGCTTCAAAACCTTGTGAGAAGGAGACACATACCAAGACAACGTATTCCATTGTTGAAGAGCAATTACCATCTGGAGGATTTTCTTAATGTTTAGGAGGAAACTCTTTTCCTGGCACTGAAAAAATGAATTCAGGGCTGAGGAGATATTTAAACTTTTAGCTCACAGCTCGCATCCTTAATTTGGCTCTTTGGGACACTTTTTCATTTTAATAGTATATTACAGGTAGCGGTTTTTCCAGGAACCCATTGCCTTTGATGGATAGCAAGGCTTTTAAAAGACTTTAAAAATATATACGGTATAACATGTTACTGAAGTATAGTATTTTACTACTTATATAATAAAAATAACATTTAACACTGGCACAGTACAAGTTTCTAAAAAAAAAAAAACAAACGGATGCTAACGTGTTAGGGTTGAGCTTGCTTAAAGTGTGTTCCAGGCTCTGTGCTCATTAAAGCTTAACTCATGTGAATGAATTCCAAAGCAATAATGCTAGGTACTAAATAGTCTTGCTGCAAGTCCACTATCAGGTGAAAAAAATAGCAGTTGTGGTCTTTCAGCTTGAAGATGTATGGAGGCATGGCTCTTTATCCTGTTGTGATCCTGAAATGTGGCAATTCTGCTGACATGTCCTGTATTGGAAATCATCCTATCCTCGTGATGCAGAATTTGCTCAGCCAGAACATTGGTGTAAAAAATGAATTATGTCAAAGGAAAATCCTGGAAAGAGGGTATTAGGGGCATAAGCTCAAATGTCACGCCTCAGCAGGGTCATTTTCAACTCAGGAAGGAAAGGGAAGTAGCCGGCACATCTGGCTGCTCAAAGTCAGAAGCTAAATTAGTTTACAATCATTTGAAGCCTAGCACTGAAATGGCTGATTTACTCACAGATTGGATATGCAATGAAGTAATCCCACTCTACCAACCATGATCTTATTCCTAGCCTCAAAAGTACTTGACTAAATGCCAGCCAAAGACATGTCTCTTCTTTGGGCAATGGCAGGCCTCATCTAACCAAATCCTAGGAGCTCTAGTTTTACAGGATTTTAAGCCTTCTTTGCCTAAGAGTGCTGTTGCCTTACCAAACTACAACTCCCAGATTCAATAGCATTGAGCTGTGGCAGTTAGAGTGCTGTCAAATTGCATTAATCCTATAGTGTAGATGCTATTTGGAGGGCACAGGGGTCCTTTCAGCAAAAAGCGAGATAGCAATTAGGATTGGAATTGGACAAGGAGAAAAATAGCGTTGGTCTGGAACAGATCTGTTAAGCCACGGATACGGAAACCCAGACTCAGTATCCGCGGTTTAAAGGCCCGCAGTCCCTTGCCCTCTGGGATGCTGCTGAAGCACCTCGGTTGAGACTGCAAGGCTTTGCAGCTTGGAAGAGAGAAAGTTCATATATTGGAGTCAGAGAAAGACACAATGTATCATGCAAGGGGTGAAGGTTAGGAAAATAGATACTTTTTTATTTGGGGCTTTGTTACAAAGTGGCCAGGAAAGACTGAAAGGGAGAGAAGGGGAGACTTCTGTTGGAGCTGCAGCTGGTGCAAAAGCCTCAGTGGAAATTCAGATCAATCCCATGCAGTGGTGAGATCCAGGATCTGTGGAACTCCCTGCTTCAACTGACAGTGACTAGATCAATTTGAAAGGAGGGGTCCTCGTGTTCGATGACAATATCCACCAACAACATTAGGAATGTGCAGACATAACAAACTATGGTGACCTATGCTATTAAGGGGGGAGTCTTAAATAACACAATGCCGATAGGTCTGGTCAGACTATTTTCATTCAAGGCAGCAGCCTTTCCTTTTCACTTCTAAAACAATACATTGCCAACTGGACACACTCTCTGCAGGTTTATGGATGTGCAGCAAAAAAAAAATTAAAAAAAAAAAGGAACCCAGCTTCAGGGTTGAAACAAATCCAACCAGTCGGTATCTTGCCTCTTAAGAGCTGCTTTTCTTCCTGATTGGGAGAAATTTGCCAATTGTAAGCTATGGCAAAATCCTGTGTTAGCGGCACTCCTAATGCCAAAGCTGCAGGAGCCGAACTCCTCCAGGGAGGAGGCAGGCACATTCCTGGGAAAGAAGACTCTCTTCACCAGACAATGGCCATTCAGTGGAAAGGCACAACCCAACATTGGCCCTGCGGCAGACGCTTATTATCTGCAGTCTATAATCAGATGAATGCTCCAAGGGATTCCAGGCTCTGCACATAACAATGGCTTTGTGCCTTGATAATAGAGCCGGGGGCTCCCAAGGCAAGCCTTATACCAATTGCCACTGAGAGACACTGGCGAGAGGAGACTGGCGAGCCAGGGCCCTGGAGGCAACTCCTCACTACCTCTGAGGATGCTTGCCATAGATGCAGGTGAAACGTCAGGAGATAATGCCTCTAGAACATGGTCATATAGCCCAAAAAAACCTACAACAACCCAGTTGCCCCATCACTTCTTATGCTTAGAGCACCAAGCATGGGCAAATTTCAGCCCTCTGGGTGTTTTGGACTTCAACTTACACAATTTCTAACAGCCTTTGGCCATTTCCTTTCACTTAAGACAGTGGTTCTCAACTGTGGGCTCCAAATGTTTTGGGCCTCAACTCCCAGAAATCCTAACAGCTGGTAAGGCCAAAACACCTGGGGACCCACAGGTTGAGAACCACTGGCTTAAGCGGTTGAGGGGGGGAAAGGAGGCTGTTAGGAATTGTGGGAGTTGAAGTCCAAAACACCTAGAGGGCCCAAGTTTGCCCATACCTGATCTACACTGTAGAATTAATACAGGTTGACTCCGCTTTAACTGCCATGACTCAATACTACGCAATCATGGGAGTTGGAGATTTACAAGACCTTTAGCCTTATCTGCCCAAGAGTGCTGCTGCCTCACCAAAATACAAATCCCAGGATTCCATAGCATTGACTCGTGGTAGTTACAGTGGTACCTAACTGCATTAATTCTACATCGTAGATGCAACCAAGATCTACCTTCCAGGTGTGGTGAATGTATATGAAACTCTCCAGGCACTCTGTATGTGCAACTTATTGTGATTGGGTTGTTGTAGGTTTTTCTGACTGTATGGCCATGTTCACTCCTAGGAGAGAATGCGTGACATGATTGTCATGTCATTGTGATTTATCTCTCACTGTATTTTTTGCACTGTTTTATTGTATTCTTATGTTTTATTAATTTTATTGCAATGTTTATTCTGTGTTTTTGGTTTTATTCTGTTGTCATGCCTTACTGGGCTTGGCCTCATGTAAGCTGCCCCAAGTCCCATTTGGGGAGATGGTGGCGGGGTATAAATAAAGATTATTATTATTATTATTATTATTATTATTAGTATTATTATTATTATTATGTTCCTCAATTGTGTTCTAGGGCCCTTCCACACAGCCAACCCAGAACATCAAGGCAGAAAATTCCACAACATCTGCTTTGAACTGGGTTATCTGGGTCCACATTACTATATATTTCAATTCAAAGCAGCAAATGTGGGATTTTATTCAGCTGTGTGGAAGGGACCCTAATGGCAGATCTGCTGCAGGGCACCCATAATGGAAGTACACTCTGGAGATGCTAGGAAACTTTTCCTTCCTATCCCCGGAAATGGTTGAGCTGGGCGATTTGTAGGCAAAATGAAGAAAACTCTGAGCATCTCACTCAGAGTCATTGCCACTAGTCCATATACCGTCCCTTTTCGCAGGATGACTTCTGCCAACTTCTTGGCTTTTCTCCTGCTTCCAAACTGCATCCCGTTCTGCCTAAAAAGGTTCGTGTCCCTTTAAGAGGCAAGCCACTCAGCGTTCCATTGAAAAAAGAGAGAGAGGTCTGTCGGGATGTACCAAAAGGGGGTGCGGGGGTGCACGGAGAATGGGCAGCAGTTCAGACATGGAAATAGCCGCGTTTGCACACGAGGGAAAAAAGTATCGAACACCTTTTCCCGGGAGGACAAAGAGTTACCACAGAAGAGCCCTTTTCTCTCGCTGGCACCGTTTGGCCACCCCCTTTCCTGAAACAGAAGTGAGCTCGTCCTTTTAAAGGAAAAGCTGACTAAGGCGGAGGAGGGGGAAAGAGGGCGGGTAGCGTTAGGCGCATGTGCCCTTTAAGAAGGGGCAGCTCCGTCCCGGGGAGGCTCTTGCACTTAAGCTGGGTCCAGGTGAGTTCTTGCAGGAAGAAAGGAGAGCTCTCGTCTACTTCCCTCTCCTTCTCTTCCCTCTTTGCTTCCTCCCACCGCTTTCTTTCAGCGATTGGGGGGAAATGGAGAGGCGGCTGGGAGAGTTTGCCTGGCAGAGGAGCCCCTGAAGTTGGGGAAGGCGCCGGGAAGGAGGTGGGTTTGGAAGGGGGAAAGGGGGCGCCTTGCATTGCTTCCAAACAACCACTTTTGGGGCTGTTTTGGGAGAAGGATCCCGGGTGCAAGGAGGCGTTTCCTGCCTGAAGATGCAGAGCCCTGCTTGGCAAGGCTCCTCTTTGGAGAGATGCCCTTGGAGTTGGAAGCCCATCAATCTACATCAGGTATAAGCCAACTTGGGCCCGCCAGGTGTTTTGGACTCCAACTCCCACCATTCCTTACAGCCTCAGGCCCCTTCCTTTTCCCCCTCAAAGCGGAAATGGGGAGGAAAAGGAAGGGGGCTGAGGCTGTTAGGAATGGTGGGAGTTGGAGTCCAAAACACCTGGAGGGCCCAAGTTGGCCCATACCTGTTCTACACACCCTTTAACAGCTCTTGTAGCACCTTTGAGAATGGAAGGAACCAAAGTTTTGGTAGACTTCAGTCAGATGCAACTGAGATTCAGTTTGTTGTGGCGCCAGAGCACTCTGATGTAGAAGGCTAAATATCACCTAGATCTCCATATCCTAAGAGAGTCTAGCATTGAGCTTTGGCAGTCAGAGTGGTGTCAAACTGCTATAATTTGGCAGTGTGGCTTCATCAAGGCTTCTGCTTACTCTTAGGTACTACAAGAGCTCTTTGCAGATTGATTTTCCAAACTCAGTCTTTGAATGGGTTGCTGTAAGTTTTTCCAGACTGTACGGCCATGATCCAGAAGCATGCTCTCCTGACGTTTCACCTACATCTGTGGCAGGCATCCTCAGAGGTTGTGAGGTCTCATCAGAGGTTGTGAGGTCTCACAGCATAGCCGCACAGTCCAAAAAACTTAAAGCAACCCAGTGATTCCGGTCATGAAAGCCTTCAACAACACATCAGTCTTTGAATGCTTTTTGTGGGTCTTTGTTAGTTCTGGCCCAGACATGCTCAAATGCCTTTTGATACGAGATTCTTTTTTCCAACTTCTTTCCCCTTCCCGATTCAGGAAGAGTGTTGATTCCAGAAAGGGGTTGAGAAGCATAGTAAGTTGGTGACCCAAGTCATTGGTGTCTGTGAAGTTTTAAGAACAATGGATGAGTTTGGGAAGCAGATCTTGATGGGGGCCGATCTGTGCCTATTTTTCCATTGAGATGTGTGTGTGTTATTTTACTCAGGTTAAGTCAGCCAGAAGGAATCATTTTAAAGCATGCAAGCTGAGAAAGGAAAACCTTCCGTTTATGTAGAATGCATCCTGTTTCCAAGAAATTGCAATACTATTCTTTAAAATTGCTCAAGTTTCCAAAAACCGTCAAAACAAATATCTGTCAGAGTAAAAAAGGGAGGCCGCTCTTTCCCTGCTTGGTTCCCTTAATGAAAAACTTCCTCTGCCAGGGTCACAGTGGGCTCACTTTTCTGTTTACGCTTCCCTTTACCTACTGAAGTCAATGGAGCTTCTATGCGATCGGGATTCTTGTGTCTTTTCTCCTTCTGGTCCATGAATTTGTCTAGCAGCGGGTTAAACTACTGATCTGATGAATTTGCTGGCTAAGGTAGGCAGTTCGAATCTGAGGAGCGGGGTGAGCTCCTGCTGTTAGCCCCAAGTTCTGCCAACCTAGCAGTTTGAAAACATACAAATGTGAGTAGATCAATAGGTTCTGCTTCTGTGGGATGGTAACTTCGCTCCATACAGCCATGCTGGTCAAATGACCTTGGAGGTGTCTACAGACAATGCTGACTCTTTGGCTTAGAAATGGAGATGAGCACCACCCCCCAGATTCAGACACAACTAGACTAAATGTCAGAGGAAACCTTTACCTTTAATGTTGAGGATGGATTGGAGGGGGAAAGGAGGAAAGCAAGGAAGAGAGGTGGAGGAACATATTCTTGGTTTTTTTTTTTACCAACTGCCCTTCCTAGGAAGCATCTCAGTCTTGCTGGCACACTGGAAGCCCTTAAACAAACACACTACTTTTCCAGACACGCATCACTGCATGCTGATTCTTGAGGCTCTGGAGAGAGAGAGAGAGAGAGAGAGAGAGAGTAGGTAGGGTGGAATGAATTCTCTGCACTCTCCAGTCCCCATGAAACCTTCTGCCAGGCTGTCTGCAAACTGTTCCTAGATTCAGGCTTGAGAGTGGGTTACTGCAGGTCACAGGCCAAGCTCTAGGGTGGGAGATAGTGGGCATCTTGTGTATTGGAATATCACGGTGAAAAAAAAAGGCATTGAGGCAGAAAAGTCAATAATGAGGAAGTACACATTGACTAGGTTTGCATTAAGCATTTCGTGTCAAACTGGGCCAGTGTTCTGGGTTTTTGCTTGGCATCGGCCAACTTCCCAACTGTAATCCCAGGATTTGCGAGTGGGATAAAAACTAGAGTGATAAGAAGGAAGTTTTATCGAGGCAAAAGGAGAGACTCTAGTGCAAATTGAGTTTTTCAAAGAAGCATTCAGAACGGTCAGTTTTACGAAGTAGGAGCCCAGCATTAGAAGAAGGACAGTGCCTTTTCCTTTTCACACTTAACCTCATTGGGCTCACAGCTACACAGTTTCAGACAAGTATGAAGGAAGTATTTTTACAGTGCGGATGATTACATAGGAAATCCTGGAACCATTTTGCAGCATGGGTGATGATGACACAAACCACAGAGCACTGGTGTGCATTAAGGGCTTTCTTTCACACTTTTGTTGGAGTTTGTTGGCTGGTCACCACAATTTGATATTAGTTTTGAACTGCATTAACTAGTCAATGTAGATGTCACCCAAGTTTGGAAAGTAAGTAGGAATAGTACTGGGACTAGGAGATCATGAGGGAGCTCCAGTCAAGTCTAGGAAGGAGCCATTGCTTCCTGTCAAAGTTGGCTAGATTACTGTGTGTTGATCTATTCAGTCCCAGAAGTTATTTCACATATCCTCACTGCCTTCTCCTGTTTTCCTCACCTTTGCAGGCCTTGTTCTGCCTGTGATCTGCCAGCTTGTGCTGAAACAACTTGGGGAGGATGCAGGGAGGCACTGGGCTGGCAGCAGTATGGCTCATGTTCCTGGCTGTGCCCGGTACCCTGGCGGGGCAGGGCAAGAAGCCTGCGTTCACTCCTATCTTCACCCACAGGCCCTTCATTGTGGCCTGGAATGTGCCATCTCAGGATTGCCAGCCTCGTTTTAAGGTCCAGCTAGACTTCAGTCTCTTTGACGTGCAGGCCTCGCCCAATGAAGGTTTTGTGGACCAAAACCTGACTATTTTCTATAAGGAGCGCTTAGGACTCTACCCCTACTACAATGCCCAGAAAGTGGCAGTGAATGGCGGTGTCCCTCAGAACAGCAGTCTGGAGGAGCACCTGGCCCGCTTAGAGGTCAACATTCATAGGTACATCCGCTCTGAAACAAAGGAGGGGCTGGCTGTCATTGACTGGGAAGAGTGGAGACCTATCTGGATCCGGAACTGGCAGCCAAAAGACATCTACCGTACTGCCTCCCGTCAGCTTGTGCAATCTCGGCATGTTGATTTGTCAGAGGAACAAATAAAGAAGAAGGCTCAGTATGAATTCGAATCATCAGCTTCTTCCTTTATGAAGGAGACCCTGAGACTTGCCAAGAGCTTCCGTCCTCAGCAGCTGTGGGGTTATTATCTTTTCCCCGACTGCTACAACCATGATTACAGCAAGAACTTGGACAGTTACACCGGTCATTGCCCCGATGTGGAGAAGACACGCAATGACCACCTGGCCTGGCTTTGGAAGGAGAGCACAGCCCTCTACCCTTCCATATATTTGGAGGAGATATTGGCCAACTCCATAAACGGACGCAAGTTTGTCAGGTCTCGGGTTCAAGAGGCCCTACGGATCTCTCAGCAACATCATGATGACTATGACCTGCCTGTCTTTGTCTACACCAGACCCACCTATAACCGTAGACAAAATCTCACCTACCTAAGTGAGGTAAGAAGGTCTTTTTCATTAAAGTTGGGAAAGATTGGCCACCAGATGGGATTGGATGTCTGTTTTGATTAAAGCTGTAACAATCTTGTGATGTACACAGCCAGCAGAGTTTTAGAAAGTTACTATTTTGGACCACACTTCCCAGAATGGAGGATGTGAACCAGAATGTTAACTTTTCTATGCTATGTCTCCCAGCCATGTAAGACGATAAGTGAGGAGCTGCCTGCCTGATGCTGGGAAATGGGAGCAGGGTAGGAGTCTAGTTGGCCGCAGTCCTGATGGCCTGCTTTCAACACCGTGGGTTGCACATTGTGAAAGCCCGTTGGCATAATATCTAAAGCATTCTCAAATTTGTGGCTTAATGAACTGTTCTTGAACAGACTGCCTTCCCTGCCACCACTTCATTGGTCAGTGCCAGACCACACAGAAAATACTTGTAGTTTATTGCCTACACAGTATCGCTAGTCCCTCCCCGCAGGAGAGTGGATTCATTCATCAACACCTTTGTTTTGTCAGACTTGGAAACATGGAAGTATGTATTGTTGGCTTCTAGAAACTTAAGAAGTTGTATGTGAGGATGGGCTGAAGGAGCCAGCTGCTCTTTCTGTCATTCACCCGTTCCGCTTGATTCTGGCAACACTGATGTGGAAGAACAATACTATTAATGGTGTCTTCATTTTCCTAGAAAGAATCATTAGTCAGGCATATTGCTCTTGGGCTAGTCCCTCCCCCTCCCTTTTTTTAGGGTCTAGAAATTCCTCTACCACTGTATAGTGAAATGTCCCAGCCAGAGGAATAGAGGAATTCAAAGTAGCATGTCAATATTGTTGCTTTAAGTGAGCATAGCTCTAGTTTATGGAAACATCTAGATTGGGCAGAGGATACTTTGTTGGTAAAAGAGTTTACAGACTCCAGGTTCGGCCTTTGTAACATCATGGTTTTAATGCAAACCCTTGGTATGTAAACTTGTGCTGAAAACCAATCTGTATTTCTTCTGCTTTCCTGTGATTTGTGGGGCTAGCTATTACTGTGAGGAGGGACAGAATTGTATAGGCAGCTTCACCCAGGGCACGAGTGTAGTAGGGCATAGTCTTTATTTAGGTCAAGATGATGTTGTCATGCGGCCGTCTAGATGTTGTTGAACTGCAACTCCCAGTATCCCTAGCCAGCATAGTCTGTGGTGAGGAGTACTTAGGGTTGCAGTCCAAAACCGTTTGGTGAGCTCTTTGATCCCTGCTTTGATCTGGAATGTCTAGTGTTTCATTCTTCTGTCTCAAGTCTCACTCCAAGCTGGAGAGACTGTCTGGAAAAATGGCCTTGTGGTTATAAATGAAAGTATTGGGGGCTAGGGATTGACCTTTTAGAGTCTGGGAGTTTGAGCATTCTAACTTATGCCTCCTAACTGGGTTTATGATGAATATGAGAAACGTTGTAGGCCAAAAGTACAGGTGTCTTGTCTTACAGTTCCTGTCAGCCTCTGTTAGCACAGCTAAGAGTGGAGTGTTCATCCTTACAAGAAAGTCACCCCCTAGCAGGGAGCAGCCTGTTTTCTGGCCTTCCTGACCCTTTGCATCCTACTGAGGTGACTGGGCACTGATACAGGTTTTAGGACTGGGTCTTTTCTGTGTTCCCTTGATGTCACATGTGGCTTGTAAGGGAAGGTGTTGAAAGAGAACTGTTGAGAAACAGGTTGTCTTTCAGAAAAGCCACAGGTAGTACCTTCATGCTTTCCCCAGTCTGTCACCTATACTTCCCTTGGTTTCTGGCCTCTGAATCAAGCAAAGAGCAGGTTTATAGTGAGCATTTTGGAAAACTCTATACCTCAAAAATGCACCTCTTGCCTTTCATGTGGCTTATGCTTTTCCCATGGATGGAGTGAATGGTAGTTTTTATCCCTTCTGCTCAGAAACCATGTAGATTGCTTGAAAGTAAGCTGTGCAAATCCAACACCAATAAATGATCATTTTAGACACTTCCAAAGTGAGGGTGACAAACTTTGGGATTTATCGTTCTAGCTAGATGACTTGTTGCTCTTTGCTTGCTCCATAGCAGACACTCATGATAAAAAAACCTTTCCTTTAATGCCACTCTCTGGCTAAAGGTTTACTCCTTGCATGGTTCCATTCACTCTAGCTTGGGATGAATTTTTAGTATTCTGAACTGTATTATTTATCTTGGTCTTCCACTTTGGGTATCCTACAACAGAATACCCTGCTGTCAAGACTAAGAAACCAGCAAAAGCACTGATAATTAGCATGAAAGTCATGCCAAGACTGAGAGTGCGATGTCTGGCTAGGTTTTGGCCCCATGTTCTTGTGCCTGATTCTTAGCCTCACTCAGTTAAATTCTGAACTTTGGGAGGAAAAACACCATTCCAACCGCTCCCATTAATGTATACTAATTCAGCTGACTTAAGGGTCCTTCCACACATGCATGTAACCCAGAATATCAAGGCAGAAAATCCCACAATATCTGCTTTGAACTGGGTTATCTGAGTCCACACTGCCATATATTCCAGTTCAAAGCAGATAATGTGGAATTTTATTCAGCTGTGTAGAAAGGGGCCTTAGCTTTTTTTGTTTTAATTCCCATTAGTCTTGCTTCACAGCTAGTAAAAAATATATATTTCCCAACTTTAGACAAATATTTCCTTTTCTTTTTCCCTGCCCACACTCTAACAATAATGGAATGGTAGTGAAAACAATTGATTTCTACCTTCTGTTTGTTCAGCTGGCAGTGGTGTCCTGCCTCCATTTGCGTAAGTTCCATGTAAAACTTAGAAAAGGTACTTCATGTACTACAGTTGTTAACATTGCAAGCCATACTGTCTGGAGTATTCTGGCAGCTGTTGTTCAAAAGGTAACTTTTACAATCTTTGGTCAAGATTAGAACAGTCCTGGAAAATTGGCTCATTGTCCTCGGATCCTGGCAAATTGTTTGCCCCTTGCCAAAATTATCATTAAAATTTGAACATGGAGTCTTGTTGAGATCTTTCATTCCTATAGTTTCTGCATACACATGTATATGCAGAATATGATGGGTTGGCTTTTAGTGGCCTACTAGCCTGAATCAGCTGTTGGTCAGCCTACTCATAGGAATGGTTAAGATGACAGGCTGTGAACTAGAACGAAGGGTGAAAGCAACCATTAGTTCTTCTGAGACAGCAAAGAAATGGCCCTCCTCCAGAGAAAAGGGTCTCTTTGTTTTGCTTTGTTCCTGCCCCTCCTTGCCTTTGGGCTGCAGCCAAACCTCTGTGGTTCTTGTCAGCAGTTATGCTGAGCTGTTCATTGGAGTGCTCTCTGTCCAGGAACCTCTTTCTCTCAGAGCTTGGCAATGTTCCTTTTTTAGGACTACTAGAAAAAGTGCCTGTATTGGCTGGGGGATTTGGGGAACAGTGGCCACCAAAGTTGCTTTTCCCAAACTTTGTTCCTTGCAGGAACTTGCTAGATCAAGTTGCTTTCCTTGGATGCCTTTGCCAGATTGCAGTTGTGGAATAGGCCTAGGATCTGAGAAAACACAGGGTGTGCAGAGGGCAGGGCGAGACCAGGTGCATACTGCCTCTTCCCACCTGAGCTCTCAGGAAGACATAAACATGTGCCGTGAGATGCCAGAAGCAACCTTCTGAAATTTATCACCAGATGCTGAATTTCACAAGAGCCTCACAAACATTAATATCGGCACAGCTATGTCCAGATCACAGGGAAGGGTTGCGGAATGCATTGTTCTATGCAAAAGAACCTGGGCTTCCAGTTTGTATCTCATAATAATGGGCACAAGTTGTCTTCTTAGGAAGTGATAACCATTGTGTGAAGCTTATCCTTCTACTGTAGCATTTCAAGGGATTACTAGCAAAGACTATATGCTTTGCCTAATTGTGTCCAAGCAATGCTTTTCACTCTTCCTTTACCAAAACGTGTTGCCTAATACTGCCATAACAATGCTCTAACAGCATCTCTGTATGATGAACTGAAATAGTCCTTCCTCAAATGCCATGGAGTAGGCATGGGCAAACTTCGGACCTCCAAGTCTTTTGGATTTCAACTCCCCAAAATCCCACTCACCTTACTGGCTGTTAGGAATTGTGGGAGTTGGTGTTCAAAACACCTGGAAGGCTGAAGTTTGCCAATGCCTGCCACGGTGGACCTGCTTGGTCAGTCTAAAGTGCATGTATTGAAAAACAAATGGACTTTTATTTCCACCGTAAATTGTTATCAATGCTTTCTATTTCTTTGCATAAAGAACAGAAGCTGTTCAGCAGTGGGAGTGGAATATATGACTTCTGAGCTAGAGCATATCCTAATGAACTCTGGGTAATCTGTCTTGACATCCTTCAATATTTTCTTCCAGATGGACTTGATCTCCACGATTGGAGAGAGTGCTGCCTTGGGAGCAGCTGGTGCTATTTTCTGGGGAGATGCAGAAGATACCAAAAGTCGGGTATGTAATGTCTTTTGCCCCCTTGAACAGACTTCTTTCCCTTGGATCGTGGTTAAAATAAACCCTATTTGATCCCTTTTCTGTCATGTTTTTTCCCCCTTGGGTCTTCTCTGTTTCATTAGGAAGCAGGTGATTCTCCAGCTTGTTCCCTCTAGCAGCTAAACATATTCAGGAAAGGTGATTGAAAAAATAGGCAAGGTATCCTATTACATTGGTAGGTAATGTGGGGAGGGGGAGCATGACCAGTGGTGTGAAATGATGGGATTCTGGTGCAACATATTTGGAGGACAACTCTTCTGGAAAGGATGCCATAATTTGTTGGAAGGAGTGCCTGCCACTAAATGAGAAGTGTGTAACATCTGGGGCTTCTGGGACGGTGTCTCCATGCTGCCAACAGATTTGCAGCTAAAAAGATTAAACCAGGAGTTCTTAACATTTTTTTGTTCCATGGACCCCTTCCCCAGTAGGTAATAACAACAGACCCATTCTCAAAATGTAGCAGGAGACAGTTTTATGACACTCAATATCATCATGTTGCTGGTATTTGTACACAGGAGGACAATGATGTCATGTGATCTTGTGGCAGGTCTAACAACCACTGTCTGCTAGATTTCAGTTAGAGGTCAGAGAAGATGATTTCCCCCCAATTCTAGCTCACAGACCCCCCAGTTAAGAATTCCTTACATAAACAGTACCATTTCCCCTTTAAACCAAGGACCGTTCTTCACATGAGCTTCTGTTGTAAGCAGATAAATGCTACTGGAACATGAAGCTGCTTGTAAACATGTTGCACAATCAGCATTGTCTAGTTTCAAATAAAAGTGGTGCTGTGACTGGGAGGAGCAGAAGAGTCCTGGGCTTCACAGAAATGGACATGCAGATCTGTACAGGCTTCTGGTTGCTAACCCTGTGCAACAGTCATTTTCTCTAACTATGTGTGTTGGGTTACAATCCCATCATTCCCAATCACTTGCCATATTGAGTGGGGCTGATGGAAACTGTAGGGGAAAATATATGGAGGAGTCCACAGTGGGGAATGCAGCCATAGAAGAAATAAGGATTTCTTTAAAAATCTTAACGGCCTTTTACCAAAGATGCTCTTATGAGATACTCCTCCCAGTTAGTTCACAGTCATATCATCTCAAAAGAGGCCTCAGATACAAGGGTAGAAAACTGCCCCTCTTGGTATGTTATGAATGCAGTGGCCAACAGCTAGTTTCATTTTAATGTTGGAAGCAAGGGCTAGGTTTGGCTCTAGTGTATTGGAGGGAAGGGACTTGAAGGACAGGTAGGCCCAAACTCTGTGTAAGGTGGATCTACACTCTGTACATCAGCAGCCCCCTCCCCACTTCCCTAATTATTCTGCAGCCCATAGCACTGAATTTCTGCCTGTAGTATTTATTTAATGTTTCTATCCTGCCTTCCTTCTAAGGAGCAAAAGTTTTTGCTTACCACTATGTTAACTTTTGTATCCTTGTAAAATAGCTCAGGCAAGAGAGCATGACCTAGCCTGAGTTTGTTGGCTTATTGGAGACTAGAATGTGGGTTATGCAATTCCTAGTCCAATATCTTAACCACCACAGCTTCACACTGTCTCTGTACCAAGTGCTGAGAGCAGTGCAGTGTTACATTTGAAGTTTGGTAATTGTGCTCTCTGGAGGGCAATTCTTTCAAACCTGAAAGGATAATAACAACAGTAACTGGATTATGTCATTGGTGTCTGTTGAACTCCAACAATTATGGCTGAGACTGAGCAGGTCTGAATCTAGTCAGTGTCTGCATGGGAGACCACTTGGGAGTCCCCAGTTACGTTCCCTTGAGTTCCTCGACAAAAGAAAGTTGGGATATACGTCAACTAAATACACTTAACGTTTTGTGATCAGAAAACTGGAAAATGCTGGATAAAGAAGAAATCCTTTGTCTAGCAATCTGGGAAAAGGCTCATTGGAATTACTAGAAATTGTTTCCAGTGAAGCATGCATAGTTTTGAGCTCCATGCTATTCTCTTACAAGAAATCTGGATTTCTCTGGATTGTGGGATATTGAAATTTTCTTTTAAAGCATATTCCTTGGGCTGTCCTCCCTCTCATATAATCCCTAGGTGTTAAATAACACAAGCCAACAAAATCAAACTTTTTGTAATAATCAGAAGTGAGAGTAGCACAGTTTAAAATCTGATATCAATTAGATTCTAACTAAATGCATTAATTATTTGAGTAGCAAAAACTACACATGATAGAGAAAAAATAATGCAGATCTGAATTCAGTGCAAAAAATTCTATAAGGATCTGGGTTGTTGTAGGTTTTGCGGGTTGTATGGCCATATGGTTTTATTGATTTTATTGGTATAATGCATGAATTGTTGTTAACTGTGAATTGATGTAATTTTGTGTTTTGATTGTTCTGTGCTGCAGGCATCAAATTGTGCCTTTGCTTCTGTAAGCCGCCCTGAGTCCCCTTCGGGGTGAGAAGGGCGGGGTAAAAGAACCCCAAATAAATAAATAAAATAAATAAAATATTCTCAGAGGATGCTTGCCACAGATGCAGGTGAAACATCAGGAGAGAATGCTTCTAGGACATGGCCATACAACCCAAAAAACCTACAAATAACCCAGTGATTCTGGCCATGAAAGCCTGTGAAAATACACTCTGTAAGAATGATCTAAAACTATATCTGATGAAAAATACTTGTTGGCTTGTGTAATAAAAGGGGAACCTTGAACAACTTATATTTCAACTAAATCTATAAGTCTAGGTCTGTGCCTGTTTTTCACTTGCTTTTAGTCTTGCGGTAATTGTTCAATCAGAATAATCTTTTCTTTAGGAAACCTGCCAGGTGCTTAAAAATTACATGGACGAGAACCTAGGCCGTTACATTGTCAATGTGACCACAGCGGCTGACCTCTGCAGCCAGACTCAGTGCAACGGCCATGGGCGCTGCCGCCGCCGCCAGAGCGATGCCAATGTCTTCCTGCATCTCAACCCAACCAGCTTCAAGATCCTTCGCAATGAACCCGGTTCGCAGGCACCACTGCTGGAGGCCAGAGGGAAGCTATCTCAGGGAGACACGGACTTCCTAAAGGGCAACTTCCAGTGCCATTGCTACCAGGGTTGGCGGGGGGAAGGATGTGAGGAGCAGCTGAACCCACCGGGTGGCGGCCCTGGTCTTTCCTGGAACATGGGACTCCACTTGCTGATGACTCTCCTCCTCCTGGCCTGTTTGCACTAGGGCTGCCTCTAACTGGAATCAGAGTGGTGTGCAAATGGGTTCCTGGTGCATACAGTGAGAGCAAGGTGGGATGTGGTAGGCAGTGAAAGGTAGCCAGAAAAGGGTGACATAGGAGTGATTTGGCCTCTCGGGGTTTTTTTATATTTTTATTTAGCAGTGATGTAGCAGACCTACTATTTAAGAGACTGTCCTACCTCTCTCATGTGTGCCACTGGCCTTTGAGAGGCTGAAGGGACCCTTCTGCCCTCCCACAGACAGTATCTCTGTTCACAGGCAGATAGATGACTGTAAGACAAGACTGGTAGTGATGGTGGAGTGCTGCCTTGAGGCATGGCCAGGTCTACCTTTCTCCCCATCGCCCCTGGTCTTGAGCTGTCCAAAAGTGCCTCTGAGATAAAAACAGACTTGGTGCCTTGGATTAGCTACCCAAAGGGAAAGCAAGACTTGGAGAATGAGACAAGTCTAAAAGACATTAGAGACCAGGGAGATGGGAAAGAAGGGACTGAATGTCTGTGCCTATCATCTTGAGACCTTTTTTTGAGAGTGAGAAGTCTGGGTCTAGACTGCAAAGACTGATGAAAGAAGTGCTTGACTCTTCTGTTATAAGGAGGGATGGAGTCACCATTATAAAAAAATGGAGCACAGACCCAAGGAGAGGAAAATGGTGGGTTTGATGGAGCTGCTGTAGTGAGGAGAAATTGCTGCTGTTATGTGTCTCTTTAAGATGCAGGACAAGTACTGCTCAGTCAATAGGGATTTTCCTGGAGGGCAGCAAGCATTGGAGGGAAAATACCCTTTTGCTTACTGGTGGATCGGTGAGCAATGTATTTTTTAATTGCCTAGATAAAGATATTCATGGGAAATGCCATGCCCTGTCCATGTGTGTGTGGCCAGTGTTCAGTCGGAACCCTGCATCTGTTACAGGAAAACCAAAAAGTTTTACCTCAAAAAAATTAAAGACACACAGAGAAAATCATTGGTGTTCTGCATTGTGTGTTAATTGCCCTGAGGTTGCTGCTGCCCCACTTTATCCCTGCCAATAAGGAAACTGCATCTGTGAGCAATATTTGCCTTCAGACGCCAATAACAAGTTGGCATACTTTCAAGGGATCTCTGTGTGGCTTATTCTCTTCACCACAAAAGTGTGGCTTTTGCCGGTACTGGTGTTTCTCCAGGGAGAATTTTCCAACAATTGTGCCTGAATTAGATCATTTCCTATGTTTGGCAGTGTCATGAATATTCTAGCCTCTCATGTGACCCCCAAAGTAGACCTCTTTTTGTAGAGATGCTGCTTCCCAATGTGGCCTTCAGCATTCCCAGAACTTGCTTTCTTCAGAGTACAGTTCTCATAACCGGCCCATTAAGCTTGGCCAAAGTATTTTTTCCAAGCTTTGAGCTCTCCTTTTCCAACCATGCTTGAGTATGAAGGAGCTACCTCCTGATCCGGTGTTCCTGGTCCCCGTACTCCGGTTTCTCTTCTCTTCAGATTGAATAAGTGACAGAGACTTAGTTGGCAAAACCAGGCTGATGCTACAGCAAGACAGAAGCCCCTAGACTTGATGGGAGCAAATCAATGTATAGCAAAGGAGAGGGAAGAACGGGATAGGATTGTTCCTATCCACTCCTTTCCTTCCAAAATGGAACTCAGATTCTCATTCTTTGTGAGGCACCATTGGTCTTTTGTTGCCATCTTCTTTCCCTCAATTGAGATAGGTTTGGGGGGTCAGTCATCTTCTCCTTTGAATGCATATTTCTTGGCTGCCTCTAGCTTGGTCATCTCCAAGAGTGGTGAAAGAAGTTGAGGCTCTGTGAGCAGTCTTGGAGCACTGCCTGAGATGTTGAGCCAAATGCAATTTTGATACTCCACGAGGTCCTGTCTTAATTGAGCTGCTAGGTCAACAGGATGGCCACTGGAGTAAAATACCCACTTATTAATCCCACTGGAAATGCCACAAGGCAGAGTTAAAACATGCACTGCTTTTTTGTCCTTCTTGACCATTGGTACTGAGGGAATAGAGCAGTCCTTCATCCTGGGTCAGACTCAGGGCCTTAGAAGAACATAAGCAGATACATGCTGGAACAGAACAAGGGCTTTGTATCATTTGGACTTTTCAAGCTGTAGGCAACAGTTAAGTCCTTGGGTTGTTGTAGGTTTTTTAGGCTATATGGCCATGTTCTGGAAGCATTCTCTCCTGACATTTCGCCTGCATCTGTGGCAGGCATCCTCAGAGGTTATGAAATGTCATGAGAGAATGCTTCCAGAAGATGACCATACAGCCCAAAAAACTTACAACGACCCAGTGATTCCATCCATGAAAGCCTTCAACAATACAGCTAAGTCCTTAATGGTCTTTACTCACACTATTTCCATTCTCCTTGCTTGAGATCACTAATTTGAGATTTGCTGCCTGTTTGGAGCTTTCTACTGGTCTAACTACTTTTAAAACTTTCAGGCTATTGCTTTTTCTCCTACCCATGTCCAGGGGCAGGGCTGAATATGCTTTTTTACAAAGGACAAGAGTTTATGAAAACAAAATTCTTGGTTTTGGTAAGTATCTGTTTGCAGCAGGGTGAAGGAATAGTTTGCAGCTATGATTGCCTTGGAAATCTGGCACAAGGGATAAATGTGGGCCTACAGCACCTAGGAAGGTTTTCAGAGGGAAGGCAGACATCTCTCTTGGAAAGTGTGCTCCCTTTTGGAGTATCTTGTTAAAGTTGATGGGAAGAGTATAGTTCAGGCATGGGCAAACTTGGGCCCTCCAGGTGTTTTGGACTTCAACTCCCACAATTCTTAACAGCCTACCTGAGGCCCCAAGTTTGCCCATGCCTGGTATAGTTAGTCTGTTTAGTTGGTCTGACTGCCTTAGAGTGGTCCTATAGCTAGCAGAAAATGGGTTGAGGAAGCAGACACTGTAGTTGTGTGTGCTTGTACGCACTCCTTTACACATCATAGCGGGCACTGGGTCTGCCAGGCCAAGTAAAACTCCTGCTTAAGAATTCACAAGCATTGAGAATACGACGTCTTGTCTGCAAAAACAAAGGCTTCCTTAAAAAGTTCCTGGGCACAGAGGAATGTGGCTAGCTCTGGAGTGTGGTGTGGTTTGTGCGCACAACAGTTCCCTGGAGAAAGTGCAAAAAACGGGAAAGAAGCCTGAGCCAGCCTGAAACCGCAGCCTCTGTAGGAATGTGTGAGGGGCGTGCTTTGATAGGAGCATTCTTTTACTAGCGAAGTTCAACCAGGGCTGCTCTTTTATTGATCCCTTTGAATGAGAAGAAAATGGATGTACTCTTTCTTTGTTTCCCTATTCCCTGAGATCTCTAGCCCATTGCCACCCAGTCCTTGAAGCAGTGTGGCAGAAAACATCTGGGAACGTTAGGAGCAAACAGCATTTCTCACATTTTTTAAAAAAAAAATCCAATCAAGATTTAAGTAATTGGACTAATCAAGCACCACATTATGCTACTACTGGTAGATGAGGTAGAGAATTACTAACAGTTGCTGCTGAGGAAAGCTTCATGGGTCAAATTCAACCAGTGGGTGGCAGATGGCTTGATCTGCCAAGCATGAGTCCCACACACTTTGCCTTGCTTTTTGCACTCACTGACACATTTTGGACAAGGATGCATTGCCAAGGAGTAAATCTGGAAATTATCAACTAGTCTCTTCAAACTATTATGGAGATGGGAGGTTGTGTTGTTAAAATTCAAATTAAGGACACTATAGTTCTCCATTGTGAATAGGAGAAAAATTAGGAAGAGTGGTGCTGGTCAAACCTTCTGCGACAGAAGGGTCAGGACTCGGGAGGGGAAGAAGATGCCGGCTGTTCCTTTCCATCCAAGTAGGAGAGCACCCTCTAGTGCTTCAAGGGAAGCCAACAAATCAAAAGCTCATTTTTCCCCTCCCTCTGAGGACACTGTGTACAAAATACCAATATAATTGCTTGCTAATGTCATATAAATATGCAGATGTCTCTCGTTTCAGTCAAACTACGGGCCATAGAGACCTTGGGAAGAGCTCATATATGAATTCTTCCATGGGGTTGCTGATCCAATGTCTCAATGCCCCTTCTCCTCCAAAATCTTTTTCCCAGGATCAGGCATGTATTTCCTTCCCACTAATTCTCCCTTTGATCCCTTCCCCTTTCTTTCACAGACTCTCATAGCTTTTCCACACATTCCCATATATTCAAGACATTGGAACAGAAAACTGTTTTCCTTGCTTTATTCTCTTTCGTCATGTTGATTGCACGGTTCTCTCTCTCCAGGTCTGGATATGCTTTGTGCTGTCAAGTTCCACCTCTAGGTTCTAATCAGACTCTAATTAGTCAGCCTTTGTTTTAAGACCATGCCAAATTCAAGAAGAGAACTGTTTTTTAAAATACTTTCCCCCACTTTAAGAACATTTCCTAAAAGCCGAGTGAAGTAGTTGAAGTGCGTGCTATGAGTTCTTTAAAGTAGTCTGAAAGTTTGTGAGAACCAACCAAACTATCCATATTCAAATTCCTGCTTCTTATTCTGTTTTCATAGAATTTGCATTAATTTTAACTCCTTATTGAGTATTCATGAAAACAAATGTGGAGATGGCCTGTCACTCTATCTGAAAGTGTGCCTTAAAAGAGCAGGGAAAAAACTCTTTGTGATTCTTTATACCTTCTATCAAAGGAAGAGTATTGGTTAAAGAATGCTAAGCATAATCCAAGATCCGTCTAAGATTTATTTTCAAAGAACATAAAGTAAATGCATACTGCATTAATTCATGAAACAACACGTTAAATATTGAAAATGGGGTTCAGTTTTGTGATATGGCAGCCACAAGCAAAGAATAGACAGTATGGTTGAATTCACAGCTATGGATATGAGGCACTTTTGAATCTTCTGCAAAGGTATAACAAGTCATGTATTGCATTTTCCCAGCATGTATTGAGCCTTGCATACAGTATGCAGCTCAGAGATATAGCACATTTATTATGTCAAACATCTTCCTTCAGTCCTTCCCATCTCCAATTAAAAGAACTTCAACTAAATTGAGCTAAGAGACTTCCTACAGAACTACTTAGAACTTAATTAGAGGGCATTGCGTGGTAAATGTTCTAACCTATTATGAGAGAGAGAGTCAGAAAAGACAATATGCCTCACTGGCAAGACTAGGTTCAAATCTCTGTATAGCAATGTGAGCTCAAGTTGAGAGTAGAGTTAACATTACTATTAGTGCTGTTTCATACACTGTGTTATTTTGTGTGCTTTAATTATTTTTCTTAACATATCAATATAAAGTTAAACATCTAACATATTCATAGCGTCATAGAGTTGGAAGAGACCACAAAGGCCATCCAGTTCAACCCCCTGTCAAGTGGGAAAGGCACAATCAAAGTAACCTCGACAGATGGCCATCCAGCCTCTGTTTAAAAGCCTCTAAAGAAGGAACTTCCATCACACTCCGAAGCAGAGAATCCCACCGTTGGACACCTCTTACCCTCTCTGTTTTGTGTCACATCAGTATTAAGCTTCCATCAAACACTATATAATATAACGTCACCGATGTTAGAAGTCTTTTTTCCCCCCATGTCAGACGCAACTTGAGAAACTGCAAGTCACTTCTGGTGTGAAGTGATTAGAAATTATTTCACCATCATATCAATCACTGAACAGCAAGATTTGTCAGATGAAATGTGTGATCTTAGTTACTAAAGGAAGGAGTAAAGTACTAATATTTACTAAATATTACTAAATATTGCTAAATATTATTTAGCATTACTCTTGGTTGAAGAATGTCATTACATGTACAAATATGCTTCTGTTTTTGAAAATGGTTGTGAAGGGAACTAGCCTTCTAGGTGTGTTCCAGTATATCTTACACCAAACAAAGTGGTGATCCCTGAAGATTTATTTTATGATGTCTTGAAAAGCTTCTTCTTAATGCTATTTTGACATAAATGTTTTAAATAACCCCAGAAACCTAAAAACGTGCACACACAG